GCAATGGGGTCCCTGTCCCTTTAAGGCTTCCAAAAAGCACTCGCCAAAAAAAAAACCACTCCGGTTTCTTTCCACCCGCCGGGAGCCGGGGGGAGGGGCGCTCGGGCGCCGGGCCGGGGCTTGTATCTTACCCCCTTCGCAAGGCGCTGGGTTCTTGCAGGTGTGGATGTGGTCTGGATCTTGTCCTGTGTCCTGTGGTCTCTATTTTAGGAAGATTTTTCTTTGTTATATTTTCATAGTTCTATGTGTTTTGGGGAGGAGATTTCCACTGCTCTACTCACGCCACCATCCTGGCTCCGCCCAATTAACTTTTGACCAGTATTTTTCTGTACTTTTTAATCAAAAGGGTTTCTTTCATTTTAGATGAAACTGCAAAAGAAAAAAATGGGAAAAGAGAGGATGTGAAGACCATTTCCCCTATGTGAGATACACCTCAGAAGCTAAGAATAGGTAAAATATTTGAAATTAGTCTTCATTTGCTGGGGCCACTCTGTATTTCAAAGGTTATAAGGTGCTTAGGACCAATCCTTCCTTACTCCCCATCCCTCAAGAAACTACATCAAAGAATTGCCTTTTCAAAGCTCGTCATGAAATCAATCAGATAACTTTATTTTAGCCAGATCAGTGGTTAATTTAAGTATAATTAGTCATATCAACCAGTTACCCTGTTTTTTTCTTGCTATTCCACAACAAACCCAGCCCCACTCTTGTATTAGGGAGTTTGCACTAGATGTGCTCTCTGCCTTCTGCATTGTTTACTCCCTGTTCCCTTTTAGTGTTTACTTAAATATGACCTTTGTGAGACTTTTCTTGATTATCCTATTTCAGATTTCTACCCTGTCCCCTCCTTGGCATTCTCTATCTCCCTTCCTCACTTTTTTGTTGCACTTATCAGTTCCTAACACTATAAATTATATCCCTATTTGTTTGCCCTCTCCTCATGAAAGTATCAGGTAAATGGCAGAACTTTTGATATATTTGACCATTTCTCTGTCCCAGTCCCCAAAACAGTGCTTGGCTCATAGAATGTGCTTAGTAGAGATTTGTGGTTTCCAACCATGGAATTGTGTCAAGCCCACAAAGATGAATGCAATAATGGAACTGGCATTCCACAGTGTTTTTACCCTCTAGTTACCACAATTTCTTAACTTGGAAATTAAAATATCCCAACCTGTCTTAGAACATATATAACAAGGCTGTGTGAATTTAAAAGTTGTCATTTATACCAGTTTTGCCCCACAAGGGACATTTGGCAATGTCTGGAGATATCTTGGTTTGTCACACATAGAAGTGTTGTACTATTGTCATCTCGTGGGTAGAGACCAGAGATGCCGCCAAACACTCTACAGTGCACAGGCCATGCCTGCAACAGAGAATTATTTTGTCTAAAACGTCAGTAGTGCTGGGGTTGAGAAACACTAATCTGTGGGTTGAGGTTTTTTGATCCTGCTGTAAGTTTTCTCAAGACTACTGCAAGTTGCTGCTCTTGTCAGAAGTCCATTGTCTCTTCATTTCCAACTGTTTCTGCTTGAACAGCAATTCAATATAACTTAACTGTTTTACATCCAGTGATTGGCTTATGTTGGCACTCAGCCAATGAGTTCAGATTGTCATATAACTAATAATGTTTATTATAGAGCTCCAGGAGTATATTGGCTACCCAGCTTTCTCATTTGAGACTTTCACCATGTATGTCTAAAGCACTGCTTCTGTCCAGTCTGCTTGGAAACACACCATTTCTTCCACTGTCTATCCTACCACTGTTGTTGCACTAAGAAAAAAAAATCCATACTTCTTACCATGAATTGCAAGCCTTTCTGTGATTTCGTCCCCTGCCTGCCCTCCAGCCTC